TAAAGGAGTATTGCTACTTAAGGTAATTTAATTTTACTTTAAACGTTATTAAAGTTTACTTTAATAAACTTTGAAACAGATTCTAGCTGATTTTAATTTCTTAATGTTATCTTTTTTGTTGGTATATGTCTTTTAGGATTTACATAAACTTGAATTGAAAATTCTAGATAGACAATCAAAGGAAGATGAAAAGGCAGAAAAACAAAGAAAACTGGCAAAATTAAAAGAAAAGGTACTCAGTCCTGAGATTAATTTATTTTCATTGTTATTATCCTAATTCATTGATTTGTAAGGATACAAACATAAAATCCATTTTCTTTTTATCCATCTCCTTTATTTCACACTTATTTATTTACATATTACAAAAAATAACTTGGTACAACTTAAGCAGCTGTTGTTTGAATTCTACCATTTCACATTATAAGCACCTCATTTTCTTTTACCCTAAATTCCTTCTCTCTTCCTACTCTTCATTCTTTTCTTCATTCTTCCTATATGAGCCTATATTTTAGACCTATAGCAGCTATGAGCATTGTTTAATTTCATTGGTGATAAAGATACTGGTGACTCTCATGGATAAAACAAAGGACTTAACTGGTGTTTATTTATCTTAAATTTATTGTCTGGCTATATCACTATCATACTTTGCTGTATTACATTTCCCTCATGATAGAAATAGAAAAAAATACAACAGTGGAAGTAGAATAAAATAATTGAACTTGGGCTTCCCACCGCCTGCCGATGCAGGGGACACAGGTTTGTGCCCCGGTCCGGGAAGATCCCACATGCCGCGGAGCGGCTGGGCCCGTGAGCCATGGCCGCTGAGCCTGCGCCTCCGGAGCCTGTGCTCCGCAACGGGAGAGGCCACAACAGTGAGAGGCCTGCGTACCGCAAAAAAAAAAAATAATTGAACTAGAAAACCCCCTAAATTAACACTTTATTAATAGATTGATATAATCCAAATTTTATTTTAGCTATATGAGCACAATTATAAGTTTACTGAAACGGTTTTATTTCTGTCTAGCGAATATCAAGTATTTTCCTTAAAACTTCTGTCTGTTACTAAGGATCTTACAAGTACAAACTTAATAGTTCATATAAATTAACTGGCACTCATTTTACTTCTGATTACAGGTTGAAAACAACATTAGTAGAGATCCCTCTAGAGTTTACAAACCTACCAAAGGTTGGGAAGAACGCACCAAAAAGATAGGACCAACAGGCTCTGGGCCACTTCTACATATCCCACATAGGTAAAAAGGAGTTAGATTGGGTGTTCACTCTATAATAATTTAATAAACTGCATATAAATTGTATATATTTTATGCAGTTTATGTATGTATATTGTGTTTTATAATAAAAAGTTGATAAAACAAATCTATATACTTTTTTTAAAGTTAACATTTAATCAGAACTTTTAAAAAAATATCCTATATATTTGTAATTGCTCTTTTCTTCTTCTCCTTAGGGCTATTCCAACCTGGAGACAAGGAGTTTAGAAAAGAATATGGGATAATGAAATTGGCATTCAGTTGATGAGAATGTTAGCATATTCCGTTATAGGAGAGAGTGACTGTGTTCTTGAAATATTACTAGCCTAGTCAGATTGATTATTGTGTTGCATGTGAATTGGCAGGTATTAAGTTCCATGAGGCATTGTCATTAGTGTTTCCTGTTTATACTAAGAGGGTAATTAATGTACAAGTTGGCCTATTATTGATGTAAAAGTTCCTTGAATAAGTCTATGTTAGAAACAGTATTTCATTTAAATACTTAGAACATTTGAAAGATACTTTGTTTTTGTCACTGCATAGCAAAATAAATTGAGACAATCATACAGTAACATTTTTAAACCAAAATTGTAAGATTTATAACTTGGAGCTAAATTAGCCTGAGTAACAAAAATGTAAAGTTTTTTTTTTTGAGTTATGAAATAAGTTGGTACTTTTTCTAAGTTTAACAAATTGGTAATTTGTCAGTTACTACATTTTTGTGTACCAAATATTTTGTATTTGTTTGAAGCATGCTTTGTTTTATATAGAGAATATTTATTTTAAAAATATGCCTCTCATCTCATATATACCCTATTATTTGTATTATTGATATTTATTCTTTTTGGTTTCCTTTAGCTATTCCAAATCTCCTTTCAGCCTTTCTGGACTCCACACATTTATAAAATCTTGTGTCTTTCACATCTTCTTGGCTGATGCAGTTTTCTTTTCTGCTTTGTTTGCCTCAAAATATGAAAATCTTCTGTTTTGAAACATTATCTGAAATAAGCTGGCTTTAGAATACTATGATTTCTCTTAGTGGTATTTAAAATGTTTTAAAATTGCTAGACTAATATATTTGGTCAAAAGAGTTAATTTTAAAATCTCCAAACTTTTGTAAATGAAAACACAATTTAACTTAATTTGACTCAACTTTTCATATTAAAAAAATCTTAGTCCCTAACTTTAATGAGTTCCCATCTTATAGGAAAGGCATCATATACATAATAAATATAGAAACTCATTTCTTATAACTTTTATATTAGAGTATCTTTAATTGTAATTTGATACATTTAGGTCAAATGACTCAGAAATTTATTATGAGTAGTAGTCAAAACCTTTTCATATTTCAAAGTTAATATTCAAAGTAGATGGCCTCCAAATTATGGAAACTGAATTCTGATTATACAATTTTTGGTGCAAAATGAGAGAATTAATATAAAACATCCTTAATCAGGAATGCCCATTTCATTTACTGTACTTGTTCTCCTTAACTTTTTAAAATGATTTGAGGCCGTTTAGAAATAAAACAAAGAACAGGACAAGGAAATTTAAAAACAGAATTGAACAGCGACAAGATACAGAAAAGTAAAGGTTTCTTATACATTACTTTCTAACATGTTGCTTTTTGTTGTACACAAATACAGCTTTTAGTTTCCTGCATCTAAGGTAAGCTTACTGGGTGATATGGTTCTTATAGCTTTTTGTTTTATTTATTTATTTTTTAAATAAAAGTAAGTATGGAAGTATTTTGAAGAAACTAGTCCTTCTAACTGAATCTATTGATAAAATAAATGAGGAATTTATCATATGGATCCTTTGTATAAAGGACGTACAATAAACATAATAATGTCTACAGTTACAGGCTCATAGAAGAGATGTCAAATAAACATTTCTTATACCAGATTAAAAAGTATATTAATAAGAAATTTAGAAAAAAAACACTAAAGGAAAAATGTTATAAAGCACCCATAATTCCACTACCCTAAGGTAATTTCTTCCAGAAATACACCTACATATTTTAAATAGGTAGTCTTAGAATACATTTTAGATATTACACTGTAATCGCTTAACATTACATCACATATTTTTCTGTTTCTGTATAGTTCAAACATTATCATTTAATGGATAAATAGTATTCAATTTTATAGATACTCTATCATTCCTATACTTTGAAGACTTGTGCTATTTATACTTCTTAACTAATAATGTAGAGTGACATTTTATGTAGGGGGTTAGATTCTGTCACATGTATGTCAAAAATCTTGTATGGTCAGAATCACCCATGAAAAGGTGGGTGATTACTTACCTAGGAGGTATATTATCTCTCAGTGAGTCCACCATAGAAGTATTTCCTCCAGATTTGGATCAGATTAGTGGTTCTTGGGCTGAGAATCAGATGAAATATTGGCTCCCCTTTAAGGGCCAGGTTGAATAGGATTGTCTTTCTGAGCTTATATAGAATGTGCATAATTGATTCTAGTAAGTTATATGTGTGTGATGTAATTTCACTTTGAACATCTTCAGACATTTTGTGGTGTATATGTGTAAGTGAGAGAGAAAGATCTTCATTGTAATAATGGAGTGAAAACTCCTCTAAACTGGGCATACCTAAAGGGCAAGGACCGTTGGCCTCTGTATTTGTAGGGAAGCACCAAGGACAGCCCTCTGCCCCTACCTGGCAGTTGTTAATGCAATATTTGTTAAAGACATGCAGGAGTACCTGTGAATAATTAGTTACTAGTACCTAACATTATGCAAGGTGCTTTGGATTGGTGAATTAGGATAACTCCAACCCACATGGTATGTTTTTTAAGAAATACATTTTCTAAGAAAGCTAACAATTGAAATTATGCCCAAACTTCTATTAGTTGATTATAAAAACCAAGTTCAGGCCTGATCCTTGCGTGGATTTTTTCCCCCAAGACTGAATCGTAAACTTAAAGGGAAGACTATATGGTTGAAGCAACTTAAATCCCTCTTTTTGAAGAAGAAAAAAAAAACCTAGAAGCCTATGTTATTTCATTTTTTTAGCATATGCGTAGAGAACACGTTGCGCATATTTTCCGTTGCAAATTGATCCAACATTGATGCTGGATGACACATTGACTCAAGGAGTAAAATCTTTGTCCCATAAAAGCAAATGATACAAATCCTCGCATGCTAGTGAACAGGGAGTGTGTGTGTGTGTGTGTGTGTCTGTGTGTCGATAATTATTTAATAAGCATTTGGTTATCCCCCATAACCAAATAATTTGATTTGTAGATTTTCTCCATCCATTCAGCTTAAAACTGTGGCCTTCGAAAAATGAGTCTGTTGGCAAATTTATACTGGCCCATCTCTATTTTCATATGTACCATCTTCATGTTCTTTAGGGCCTTACTTTTCTCAAAGCGAACTTGAAGCTACTGACCTTGCACTTCCTCCCAAATATCCAAGATAAAAGTTCTGGAAGGATGTGTGGATTTGTGGGCTGAATTTTACAAGGCTTGCGAGGTGTTTCCAAACCTTTGGAGCTTAGCGTAGAAAAGGCGGGGTCGTGCGCTACCTACGGAGAAATGGGAGGGAGAAAGCGCCGCGTAAGGCCTTCCGTTGACAGCGTGTAGCTTCAATCACCGATGTGGGAAGCGGAGGGCGCACTTGCCCTCCCCACCCGACCCCCAGGTGTTGCCCCTTGGGTTTCCTTCGCGCCGCGAGGCAACTGCTTCCGGGTCGCGGCGGACGTCGTTTCCGTAGCAGCATGGCGGCCACGGAGGAAGAGCGGCCGGCTGGGAGTGGAGAGGGAGAGCGGCTGGATTTTCTACGGGACCGGCACGTGCGGTTCTTCCAGCGCTGCCTCCAGGTCTTGCCGGAGCGCTACTCTTCGCTCGAGACCAGCAGGTAACTGGTGGCCACAGCCAGCGAGGCCGACACAGGGCCCGGCCCCCCGGAAAGGCGCTGCGGAGCCTGATGGCTAAGTGGGCGCCCCATGAGGGCTGCGACACCGACCACCCGGCACTGCTTACCCTCCCGGGCCGGGCTGCAGTCACCCTCGCTCCCGCGAGCTACGGCGAGAGGGCTGGGGCGAGCTGTAAGTCGAGGGCTTTTGGAATCTACAGGTTTCGCCCTTTTCACTTCTCAACCATGTTTTCGTCTCAACTTTGAGCTTCCTTTTTACCCTGCTCCTAACCTGTGAGTCCCTTGGCCTCGCTTCCGAGTATAAACAGAAAAAGACAAAGGGTTTGTCATCGTATTTTACCTAAATAGCCTCTCCAGTGCTTCCCTTTCGTCCATAAAGTCGTTAATTCTTAATTGAATGCCTGTATGGTGTTGAGTGTATAGGAGCGGTAGGGAGCCTCTAAGGTTTGCGTAGATAAGAACTTTCCAGGAATCGTAAATCTAATGATAGGATTGGCGAAAGAGGTGCAGTGTTGCTGGAAGCAGCCTGTTAAAGTTTATTTGCAATGGCATTGTGAGTTGGGGTGGTCTGAGGACTGTGATCTGGCAGAGGCTAAGAAACTGTGAGTTAGTCATTAAGAGTAAACGTCTGGGGATGAGAATAACGAAAGGAGGCGGCGATCTTTGCTTTGCACTGTTGTGTTTTGAAGTGAGACTCCAAAGCTTCATGGGACTGGCTTGGAAGAGAGAGCCAATTGGTTTTGCTCTGATCTTTTCCGTATTTTCGTAACTGAGCCTGTGGTGTATTTTGAACACTTCAGTTTTGGAAGTTTTGTAGATTACTTTCGCATACATGGTCAAGAAATATTTATTATGGTAGGTGCTGGAGGACAGCTGAACAAGACGTACAGGCAGTTTCAATAAGGCAGGTTCCTAACCCGGATTTCCTTAGAGAGACCTTCCCTAATCACCCTTTCCAAAGGAGACTACTTCCAGTCACCACCTGAAATTATATATTGATGATACCCTTCTTTCACACAGGATTGTAGACTTCATGAAGGCAGGATTTTTGTCTTTCTTGTTTACCTCTGTAATACCAGGGCTGCCCTGTCCAATTTGGTAGCCACATTTCGATATTTAAATTTGAATTAATTAAAATGAAATAAGATTAAAAATTCACTTCCTTTGTTTCCAGTAGATACCACTTTTCAAGTGCTCGGTCGCCACATTGGCCTGTGGCTTTTGTTTCTATCTCAACATTTACGTCATCTCAAAAAGTCCTACTGGACAGCATTGCACTAGAACCTTGACTAATATCTGGCATAAGAGAAGGCAATAAGGACATATTTGTTGAATAACTATTCCGAGCTGAGCCCTGAAGGATGAACAGATTTTTGCTAAAGAAAGAGTGAAGCATCGTTTATATTCCTTTCTCCATCTATGTATATTGATTGACTAGCAGAGCCCATACCTCGATCTAATTTAACATTTCCAAGACTCAGTCATTGATTGTAATGATATGGGATGTTTAGAAATACATTGATAAATCACATATTTTATGAGGATTAATTTTATATTAATTTAAAGCATTGAATAAAGAAAAACATCCATCCTATTTTGACTGTTAAACAGTTGAACTTTGCTTGTAGCTATCACAGGTCTGTGGTTGCATTTTCAAAATGCTAGTGTGTTTGGTCTATAAAATTCAGCAAGGACAAAATCATACAGACTAACGCATGTTGGCAGTAAACTGTAATCCTGCTCGCAGCATAAATTGTCTGATTAAACAACTAACTTAACAATAGATTTAATAACTTAGTATGATCTTAGGATTTACACCAGGCATTGTATATTAGATAATAGATATGTAATACCACAGTGCACTAGTTTAAGAGATATTAATTATATCCTTTTTATGCCTCATGTTTGTCACTTAAGTATGTTTTATCATTTTGGTTTTTTTAATGGCTCAATTCATAACCACATTTAAGATAATATGCACATACTGGGTTTTGTGGTAATTTTTTTTAAGTTTTTCAATTTTTCTCTTTCCTGATTCACATTCTTTACTTTCCTTAGTTCAGCATTAAGTCCTTTTGTGGTGTATGTGACTCATAATTGACTTTAAGATGCTTGTGGAGAAGCTCCAACTTTTTAAGCAAAGGTGACTGGGTCACGAAATTTTTACTAATAGAGTTTTAAGATAAAACAATGTATTAACTGAGTCATAATTCTTAGCTAGTATTATAGTTCAATTCCACAAGCATTTATTGAGGGGCTACCATGTATCTGGGTATGGGGATAGGTATAAAGCAATGATTCAGGTTTTCCTGTGTTCATTTCTTTTTACTGATAGATGTGAAACAGCTGACTCCTAGGAAGGCTAATATTGAACTAGACATTTAGACCCTTATTTTCTGACCCACCATTTTGACAAAATTATTCTATTTCCCTGTTTCTTTTAGCCCGATCAATAGAATAATTTTAATTTTTCTAATAGCAGTGGCTTTATGAAAATTATAAGGTATACTGTTTGTTGATTCACTCGAGGTTTTTCTTTTATATTAACTTCTGAAAAGTGATGGTTACTAGTTAACTCAAGTGAATATAGACCTTGGATTGTGAGCTTTGTCAGTTAACAGGTTTCTTTTCATGAGTGGCTTAGAGAGCTTTTTAGTTATGTGATATTGTTGTCATTTGTGTTTGGGCAGTGGGCATTAGAGTAGGCCTTTTTAAGTTGGGGAGCAAAATATTGACCATTTTCTTTTATGTTATTTTTACAGACCCAGCTCTTCTAGAGGAAGGGTTTAGATGATTTTCCCCCGCCCCAAGACATTCACAATCTTTCTATTCTGGTTTCCTCCGTATCCCCTTTGTATCCTGTGTTGTAACCATTGAGCTGCCTACCAGCCAGCAACTTCTCTGTCCTTTTGTTCTCTCCATTATCTGAAGTATATCACAGTCTGGCAGTGTGTCTCTCAAAGTGTGTTGGTGAGGGAGGCTTTTAATCAGTGATAACAGAGTACTTATAAAAATACACATACCTGAGCCCCTCCCCAGATCTACTGCATTCGACTTTCTGTATGGGCCTGGGAGTCCAGGTTCATAATAAGCATCCCAGGTAGTTCTGATGAACACTAAAGTTTGAGACGGTTTGCCTAATAGGAGAAACAAAAGTACAAACAGATTATTTAATACAACAGTGCTTCCCAGCTCTAATGTGCATATGAATCACCTGGGGATCTTGTTAAAATGCAGGTTCTCATTACGTAGGTCTGGGTAGGGTCTGAGATGCTGCAGTTGTGACAGGCTCCCAGGTGAGGCTGATGCTGCTGATCCCCTGGCCCACGTTGATTTTGTTTGCACGGTGATTGTGATATTCACAGGGCATTCCGGAAGCACCTACCTAATCAACCTGAAGAGAGACTCTGAGGAAGAGTCTGAGGCTTCCTGGAAGAAGTAACCCTGGAGCTAAATATTAAAGAATGTGTTGAGTTTTTGTGTGGGTGAGTGGATTATAGGCAAAAGGACAATAAGTAAAGACAATAAAGATAGATAAGTGAGTATTGAGCAGGGAAACACCAGTCAGTTCTCTGACAGTGGTTCAAAATGTAAGGCAGGTGTGGTAGGAATTTAGTATGGAGAGGTAGACATAGGTTTTCTTTGCCATGTCAAGAACCTGGGAATTTGATATCATGTAAGTGACAGGCAGTTGCCAAGCAGTGGATCTTTCTGGTTAGATATGCATTTTAGAGTGATCATTGGATTTGAGATTGGTTGTTGTATCAAGTGGGACAAAACCAGAACCAGGGGCACCAATTAGGAAGCTGTTGCAATAGGAGTCAAGTGCTGGGACAGCAAAATTAGGGACAGAAAGGAGGGGATGAAGAAAGAAGGAGGAGTCCCAGAATTCTAGGGTTGGAACTAGCAACTGGTCTAGAGAACAAGAGGCAAAAGGAGCAGATTTAGAAAGGAAGAGGATGTTATCTGTAGTAGCGCTTAGAAACATCATTTAGTTTACCTGCAAATTGATCTATTGGTGAAGCAACTTGATTGTGGGGGTGGGGGGGGGGGTGGGGCGGTTGGGGGGATGTTACTTGTTCGTCCAAGTAAGATAAACTTTTTATATGTACTGTCCAGAGGAGGAGAAGGGGCAGGAAGACATGGCTTAGTTCAGTTTTTCAGAGTTCAATTCTAGGGAAAAGAAGAAAGGAAGAAAACAGACAGATGCTCTCCAAAGAAGTAATAAAGTAAAAATCACTTCACTGGCCTGATTTTAGGTGCATGCATTGGCAAGATTACCCCTCTAGATGCCTGAACCAAGGCAGGTTGCCTGGCAGTCTCTGCCCCAAGCAGCAGTCAACTGGGCACCACAAAACCCTACATTATTTCTCCCAGAGGCCCACAGCCCAGAATTCCTTTTTATTCCATGTGACTTATTTAATTCTCTCCCTCTCAGTGTTTTAGGACTACTTGAGAACGCTAGTGTGGTCAGAAAAGGAATACTTTCTTATTATCCTTAGAGGAAGTCTGGATGTTTGCTCCAAACTGACTTCTTGGTTCTGTCTGCCAGCCACTGCTGGGTGCTTAACTTGATAAACAGGCTTTTCACTATAGTGTTGTTAATCCTATAAACCTTAGTCTAAACTGCTATGAGTTGAAAATGCTGGACCTCGAGAAGCTTTTAATAGTTAAGTATGCAGGACTTCAAAATAGGTTACTATCGGATGACTGAATTCTGGTGTTTGCATCCATACCGTGGAGCAAGTAAAACAAAAAAACAGATCATTCAGGTATCTCTTATATACAGATAACAGTATGACTTTAGAGGAGAGTTTCTAGACCTCAGCACTGTTGACATTTTGGGCCAGACACTTCTTTGTTGACTGGGGCTGTCTTGTGCATCATAGTACATTTAGCAGCATCCCTGGCTTTCACCAACTAGATGCCAAATAGCACCCTTCCCTAGTGGTGAGAACCAAAATTGTCTTCAGAATGTCCGCTGGGGAACAGTATTGCCCTAGTGGAGAATCGCTGTGCTTCTAAAGCCTGGCTGCCCTTTAGAATCATCTGGGAAGCTCCCCATCCTCCACCCCGTCCCCACTTACCCAAACACCAGGTCCCAGACCCTACCTTCCATCTAGAATTTATGATACCTTTGTCGTGGAGTAAGGCCTAGGCCTCTCCTGGTTTTGTTGGTGGTGTATTAAGTTGTTTGTTTTTAAGCTGATTCTAATTGCGCCACATTTGAGAAACACACCTTGGACTCAGAATTCCTTGAGTAGTTTTCATTGGTTATCTAGCATTGAAATCTCAAGTTACTTGAATTCTTTGGACTTTCTTATCTTGAACTAGAAAATTAAAGAGATGGACTAGATAATTTCTGCTTTTAACTTAGGAAATAATACCTACTTATTTTTATAGCCCTTTGGATATGTTTTCTTACAACATTTTTTAGTAACAGGAAGATGATTGTTTTATCAATACCTCATGTTGTTCCTCACTTTTATTTCTCTTCCTTTTGCTTTTCTCTGTAATAATGATTTAATAAACTCAAATATTAGATGCTTAATTTTACCAGACTGTCGTCATTCACTTTATAGATTACAGCCAAACTGAACCCTATGATAGCTCTCCAGGAGGGCTAGATGTAGTATTGCAGGTCTTTTATTTGTTAGGTAATTCAATAAATTGAGTGCATATCATGCACAAGGCAGACCTTATCTCATGAAACATAATTAGCACCAAGAGCAGTGATTTTCACATGTGAGTACTGTTAGGTAGAAATGTTCCCCATGTCTAAAATATTTTGTTTTGGAGAAGAGCAGTTGGGGGGATGGTGGAAGTTGCCAACTAATGAAAAGGCCTGTATAGTGTAAGTTAGTCCTGTCCCGTCAAATCAGGGAAATACCAATAATAATAGCTTCCACTTATTTAGTGCTTGCTTTTGAGCAGGTAAGCACAATAACTGTGTGAAGTTTAATGAGTTACAGATAAGGAAGCTGACTTAGAAAAGACTTAGAAAAGGTTTGGTAACCTAACCAGATTACATATGGCTAGAAATTGACCAACCTAGGATTTGAGGCTAGCTCATTTTATTGCAGATCTGGGCTCTGAACTACTGCTCCCCACATAAAGGTGTTCCACTGCCCTTAATTTATTCCTGATCTTATCCAGATAAATCACCACCCTAATTCAAGTGGATTTCAGTGAGTTGTTAGAATTAAATTGAGATAATATATGAGAAATTTCCTAGCCCAGTGCCTAATACATAGTAATACTCTCTCGATAATGTGAGTTTCCTAAAATGTATTGTTTTTTTTTTCTTAATTCTTTTTTTTGCTGTTGTTGTACGCGGGCCTCTCACTGTTGTGGCCTCTCCCATTGCGGAGCACAGGCTCCGGACGCGTAGGCTCAGTGGCCATGGCTCACGGGCCCAGCCGCTCCGTGGCATGTGGGATCTTCCCGGACTGGGGCACGAACCTGTGTCCCCTGCATCGGCAGGCGGACTGTCAACCACTGCGCCACCAGGGAAGCCCTAAAATGTATTGTTCTTGAGTGTACCAGTATCTCAGTTTTAGTTTTTGCCTTTAAGCTTTGGTTGGAATTAAATTGCTCTCTGATTTCTCCTCCTGTTATCTAATGGATGCCAGCCTTTTCAACCAGGGATCAGAGAGAGAATTATACCCTTTAAAAAAATGAGTGACTGTTTTCTCATTTCTCCTAAAGTTGGTAATAGCGTTCTAGATGCAGAGAAGTTAATTATATACAATGGTTGCCTTAGGGCATTAAGGCTTAATTTTCTCTTGGAATCTCTGTTTAGAAGGTTATAGAATGCATCAAGTGGCTCTGCTAGAAGATTTTAGACCAGATAATTTGAAGTATTAGTTTATCAGTATTAGTCATAGGAATTATTAGAATATGGAAACGAGATAACCATGCTCAATCAAACAACATTGTAGAATGCATCTCAACAGGAAAGGAAATATATGAAACAAACTCTTTAAGTAAAAAGCTACCACTGAGGGGACTAGTTTTTATATGAAAGCACAAGGCGTAGATTTCTGATTTAGTGCACAATCTTGGAGGGGAAAGATATTGCTTTATAGTGTTCCATTTCATCAAAAATGTTCGTCTCGGGCTTCCCTGGTGGCGCAGTGGTTGAGAGTCCGCCTGCTGATGCAGGGGACACGGGTTCGTGCCCCGGTCCAGGAAGATCCCACATGCCACGGAGCGGCTGGGCCCGTGAGCCATGGCTGCTGAGCCTGTGCGTCCGGAGCCTGTGTTCCGCAACGGGAGAGGCCACAACGGTGAGAGGCCCGAGTACAGCAAAATGAAAAAAAAAAAGAATGAAGAAAAATGTTCGTCTCTAGGAAAATGGAAACTGAAATGCATTTGCATTTTTAAAAGTGTTCCTTATTCCCCAAAATTCATTATAAATTTTTTCCAAGGGGTCACATTATTCATAAACAAATTTGAATAATGATAGATTTATTCTAACATCCTTAAGAATTAAGCACCAGCTACAAGCGTAATTGCTCTTGGCAAATCAGTGAAAATTGAGATTTTTATATATTTTCCACCTTTTTGGCCTTATATATACTGATTAAGTGCAGGGAATTCTCTTTTTCAAATCTACTTTTAGCCTTCAGGTTGCTCATAAACTGGTTTCAGTGAATTCATGTATACTTCAGATGAGTAGGGTTGATTTCTTAACCCTTAAATGTTCCTTTATTAAAAATTAAAACAAAGGTTTGATTGATACTATTAACTTATAAGAATAAATTGGTTTTTTCGGCTTTTGCAAGTTGGGAATATTGTTTAAATTATCATAAAGTTGGAATGAGTTTATTATTTTTCTGAACCAGAAAGACTTCATTGGTTTGATACTTAAGATGGAATTTTATATTTTTCTCTTTTAGATTGACTATTGCATTTTTTGCGCTCTCCGGGCTGGATATGTTGGACTCCTTAGATGTGGTGAACAAGGATGATATAATCGAGTGGATTTACTCCCTGCAGGTCCTTCCCACAGAAGACAGTGAGTGAGTTTTTAGCATTTTGTTTTTAGTGTGACTAGTTGTACCTGGCATAACATGTGTTGCACTGGGAAATCTTAGTATTTGTTCCTAAACTATTAACATATTTTATTCATCTGTGTTTTCCTTGTAACACTCCCTTTCTGTTCAAACACAGTGCTGACCAAGTCTAGTCAGTCATTAATCTCTGGAGAGAACAATTTAGCGATGTCTAAGGTTGGATGGAGATTCACAGTTGTACACCATGCTGTGTTGCATATTTCCATGCTCACTACTGCTTGTTGAGCAGTATTGTAGTCCATATTTATGTTTGATTAGTTTTGTAGCATTCACTCTATTTTTCATTCCCAACCATTCTTTTTGTCTCCTCAGTGAAAAACTCATTGCTGTCAAAAAGTTTCATTCCAATCTCTTGGCCATTTTCCCTCTAAAGTTCCATTAGTATTTCTTTAATGGTTTCTTAGAGCTCTTATTTATACTTCAGTCATTTTTATGCTTCTTAAAACTTTATACATTTTGATCAATTAAATAAATTCTCAAAATTCATAAATTATTGATCAGCTAAATACACACGTTTTATAAACTCTGTTGTTCACTCCATTAAGTGTAAAATACCTAATATCTATTTAACTTATAAATGTTAGAAATTCTAACACTGAATTGAATTAGAGCAAGCAGATAAACTCACAGAAAATCATGCAATTTTTGTCTATGGTCACTACTTACCTTTCTTTTAAGAGTCAGCATTTATAAATTAACTGTGTGGTTCATTGGTTGGAGTAATCATGTATAAATCTCACCCAGGTGAACTTTGGGGAAATAATAAGCTAAAGCTTTATTTAGAAATAAAGTGCTTTGATCTGTTAGCAGATGCTGTTGGACATGGTTTGTGGCTTTCTACTTTATTGTTCTTGAAGTTTGTAGTATTTTTTTTTTTTTTTTTTTTTT